TTACTCTGTATCTAACCCCGTGCTGTCCCTGTCCTGGGAGTGTTTGATTGGGGTGACAGTGTAGAGGGAGCTTTACTCTGTATCTGACCCCGTGCTGTCCCTGTCCTGGAAGTGTTTGATGGGGGGACAGCGTACAGGGAGCTTTACTCTGTAGTTAACACAGGGCAGAGGGAGGCATGTAAACGCTGTGGTGTTTCTCTGCAGAGGACCTGGGTGCTGCTGTGGCAATGCTGGGCCCAGAGGGCGACATCAAGGGCGCAGTGCGATTCCTGCAGCTTTCGGAGAACCTGTGCCTCGTCGAGGGAACGATTGATGGTCTGAAACCCGGCCTGCATGGGCTGCATGTGCATGAGTTCGGAGACCTGACCAACTCCTGCCTCAGGTAACCTGTTTCCCAGTGTGTGTGTCTCTGTCTCTGTCTCTGTCTCTGTCTGTGTCTCTGTGTGTGTGTGTCTCAGGGAGATATTGGAGTGCAGCGCACAGAGATGGTGGAGGCACAATTCCTCTGCCATCCCTTTTTCCTTCCTGTATTAGTAGTCGGGCACCTAACATTTAGACCCCTTTCAGTTCCTCAGCCTGGGCACTTGGTACTGCCAGCCTATTTGACCATGGTGTGAATCGCAACCAGACCCCTTTCCTTCTCAGGATATGGGTATTGCTGGCAAGACCTAACGTGTTCCCCGTTCCCTAACAGCCTCTTGAGAGGGTGATTCTATGTCCAGCTGGATCCAGGCCAGTTAGCATTTATTAACTATTCAGTCTTGCGTAGTCATAGAGCCATACCACACAGAAACAGTCCCTTCGGGCCAACCAGTCTATGCTGAACATAATCCCAAACTAAGCTAGTCCCACCTGCCTGCTCCTGGCCCATATCCCTCCAAACCTTTCCCTATTCATGTACTTATCCAAATGTCTTTTAAACTTTGTAACTGTACCAGCATCCACCACTTCCTCTGGAAGTTCATTCCACACGCAAACCACCCTCTGTGTAAAAAAAAAAAAACAAATTGCCCCCATGTCTTTTCTTTAAACTCTGTCTCCTCTCACCTTAAAAATGTGCCCCTTGGTCTTGAAATCCCTCATCCTAGGGAAAAGACAACTACCATTAACCCAGAGATAGTAGGAACTGCAGATGCTGGAGAATCCGAGACAACAAGGTGCAGGGCTGGATGAACACAGCAGGCCAAGCAGCATCATAGGAGCAGAAATTTCTGATGAAGGGTCTAGGCCCGATACGTCAGCCTTTCTGCTCCTATGATGCTGCTTGGCCTGCTGTGTTCATCCAGCTCTGCACCTTGTTGTCTACCATTAACCCATCATGATTTTATAAACTTCTGTAAGGTCACCTGTCAACCTCCTACGCTCCAGTGAAAAAGGCCCCAGCCTATCTAGTCTTTCCTTATAACTCAAACCTTCCATACCTGGCAACATCCTGGTAAATCTCTTCTGAACCCTGTCCAGTTTAATAATATCCTTCCTGTAACTGGGCGACCAGAAATGAACATATCTGTACTGTCCTGTACAACCTCAACATGACGTCCCAACTCCTATACTCAAAGGTCTGAGCAATGAAGGCAAGCGTACGAACAAGTCCCACTTGTTCTCCGGTTATGTCAATTTTATTTTTAAGTTAATTTACAGTATGTGGATGATACTGGCTAAGCCAGCATTGGCCGTGCCTAATTGTTAAGAGTCCACTCAATTTACTGTGGGTCTGGAGTCACATATAGGCCAGACCAGGCAGATGAACCAGATGGATTTTTCGCGACAATTGATAATGGTTTCGTGGTAGGCTTTAGATACTTAATTCCAGTAATCTTTTTTGATACTGAATTCAGTTCCCACCATCTGCCTCCCCTTTGAGGGAGATCAATGTCGTCAATTTCATCTTTGTTGACGTAACAAGTGAGATGACCAATCTGATGTTAAAAGGTCAGAAATCACGCGACACCAGGCTATAGTCCAACAGGTTTATTTGAAAGCGCAAGCTTTTGGTATCTTCCTCCTTTCAGGTATTAGCGAGAGAGGTGGTATCAGACACAGAATTTATATGTAAAAGATCAAAGAGTCACACCACTGTTGAGGATGTACTAAACAAACTTAAGATGCTGTTAAATCTTTAATCAGTAAGAAGGTTTTAATTGATTAATATGTATGTGTATCCTTTGAAGTCACTGTCCTGAGAGAACATTGTCTGACTTAAAACATCGCCTCTTCTTTATGCTGATAAAACCTTTAGTTCTCTCAAGACAGTGATTTCAAAGAAATTTGGGGATTCACATATACATATTAATTAAAACCTTCTAGCTGATTAAAGGTTAAACCGCGTCTTAATAATATCCTTCCTATAAAAGGTAACTGTAGCTGGACACAGTATTCCAGAAGAGACCTCTTGTACAATCTCAACATAATGTCCCAACTCGTCCTCAACCATCCTGTCTGTTTGTGATACACACTTCATAGGTCTGTCTGTTCTACAACACTACCCAGGATCCTATTTCATGTAACAAAGTGTGGAGCTGGATGAACACAGCAGGCCAAGCAGCATCAGAGGAGCAGGAAAGCTGACGTTTCGGGTCTAGACCCCAGGATCCTACTTTTTTTAATTGTGTATGTCCTGCCCTTGTTTGTTTTACCAAAATGCAATACCTTATATTTATCCAAATGAAACTCCATTTGCACTCCTCAGCCCATTGAGCCAATTGATTAAGATCTCTTTGTAATCTCAGATAACCTCTTTCCCTGTCCATTATAACACCAATCTTGGTGTCATCCACAAGCTTACTAACCATGCCTTCCACATTCTTATCTAAATGGTAAACAAAAGTGGACCCAGCTCCAATCCCTGTGGAACACCTCTGTTCGGAGGCCTCCAGCCCTAAGAAAACACTCCAGAACAGGACATAGTACTCCAGAAGAGGCCTCACCAATGTCATGTACCACCTCAACATAGAGTCCAACTTCCTATACGCAGTGTACTTAGTACCCTATACTTAATATGTTATTTGGAATCTGCATTGTAAATCCACTGACATCCCAAAAACAGTCACCTCGTTGTGTTCCATGTTCAATGGGAATGAATGTGTTCCCATTTTATTCCAGCCCTTCTGATGTCCATTTCAAAAAGCGTAATTGTTTCTGAAAGTCTGAAACCCAGTTAAAATGAGGAGCTTTTCCTTGCCAACAATGTAGCACAGTCTGACAGTTCCCAGGCGAGCACTTAATTAGAAATCTCCAGGCAGAATTATTTACAATCGTTGGTTAGATTCTATTCTTTATTCTTCAGAGTAGCCGTCCTATGTCTGAATTTTATCAAAATCTGGCCAGGCTTCATAAGCGTTTAATAGGTCAATTTTCTTAGAAATTTTGCCTTTGAGTAGGAGAAGATATGCCGGTGGTATATCTTCCTTCCTTTCTTCTTGATTAAGACTGAACCCATGTCTAACAATGTGGGAATGTTGGGAGCTTCAGTCTCTGAACAAGACCTATGACTGGAAACAATAACTGCTGGAGATCTGATGGAGCTGGTCAGGCAGCATCCGTGGAGAGAGAGCGAGCTAACGTTTCGCGTCTAGATGACTCGTCAACAGAGCTGACATTGTGAAGTGTGGATGGGGCAGAATTTATGTAGTAATGGGGCTTGAGGTCAGAGTGCTGGGGGAGAGAGGATGTTAATAGTTCGGATTAAGTGATGGGAATGTGAGAATTGCAGAACAATGGTGTCTCTAACTGCCAGACTGGAAAGAACGGACAGTCCCCACTGGGGGTACAGAGGGTGACAGAATGTAACAAGCAAAGGTGAAGGAATGCGTTCGCAATTTGAAGCTGTTGAACTCCATATTGAGCCCAGGAGGTTGCAAAGTTTGAAGATGAGATGTTGTTCCTCCAGTTTGCGCTGTGGCTCGCTCGAACACTGCAGCTCGCTGAGGACAGACACACGGGCATGCGAGCAGGATGCTGTGTTAAAATAATCGGCTACAGGAAGTTCGGGGTCATGCTTGTGCACAGACCGGGGGTGTTCTGCAAAGTGGTGTCCCAGTCTGCGTTTGGTTTCTCCAAATGTACAGTAGCCACATTGGGTACAGCGGATGCAATACACAAAATTGGAGGAGGTCCAGGTGAAATGTTGCTTCACCTGGAAAGACTGTTTAGGCCCTTGGAGGGTGAGCAGGGAGGAGGCGAGGGGGCAGGAGTTACATCTTCTGCAGTTACGTGGGAAGGGGTGGGGGGTTGGTGTTGGTGGTTGAGGGAGGGAGCCCTCTGACTGGGATGTGAGAGTGTTTTACTGCGGTGCAGTGATTAAAGCTCATGTGTGGTTCTTCTACAGTTGTGGTGACCATTTCAACCCAGGAAAGAACAGGCATGGAGGGCCAAAGGATGTAGACCGGGTAAGTGAGGGTTGTGCCTACCCAGGGTAGGGCAGTGAGGGTGACTCGCGCAGCACGTCAGAGGGCAGTGTCAAGCATGTCTGTCCCCCTGGAGAGACAACAAGCCAGACAGTGTTCCCCTGAGCCTGTCGGCTGCGAATTATGCAGGCACTTCACTGACCAGAGGGGATAGGATATCTGGGGGAGGCTGTTCAGCACATATTTGAGGTGTGTATTGATCCATATTGGCCGACCTGTCCTGGGAGTGTTTATTGTGACAGTGTTGAGGATACTTTACCCTTCAGTTTAAAAGGGCAGAGGAAGCTTTACCCTGTATCTAGCCACACCCCGCCTTCCCACCTCCCCTGCTGTTCCTGGCCAGGAACTTTGATGGAGGACAGTGTAGAGGGAGCTTTACTCTGTATCTAACCCCGTGCTGTCCCTGTCCTGGGAGTGTTTGATGGGGGACAGTGTA